TGCCACTTTCATCCTCGAAAGAACATAAGCAGTCAGATAACCAAACTGTCAGTTACCTAAGTGCAATAATGCCGTTTCGAAAGCCCCTTTGACGGCATCTAAGCAGCTCGCATTAGAACAAAGCCTATTCCATTCCTACTCTATTCTGGGCAAAATGTAACTACTAATTTCATTCCCATTCCATTCCAGTGCTGCCACCATTTTATTTGCATTCGATTCCAGGGTTGTGGAAGTGCGGAATCGTTCCAACTCTGGAGTGGCAACTCCTCAACACTGGTGATAGTCACCAAGGCACCCAGTTCAGTGTGAATGCTGTCCTCACAGCCCATCCAAAGCTGTTATTACTGTAACAAACTCCAGTACGACGAAGTAGTTGAATTCGGAAGCCTGTTGTGCAGATTTGTACCTTGCATTGTTTCCGGTATTTTTTATTTCTTTTGTATTTTATAATGGACAACAACCGTTGTAATCTCGGTATTGTTGCCAAACCTGAAGGTTTTATCATCGGTGCACTTTTAAATAAATACATATATGCCACAGCCGCAGCTCAGCGATGAGCACTTACACTGCGACTTAGGTGTTTCGTAAGTATTCATTTTGATTGCGCGATAATGATGTTTGTCTTCTGTTAGAATTAAAAAAACCAAAACAATATTCAACATGATAGAGATAATTTTGGACACCCGCGGCATGTGTGATCTGAGCATTTGTTCTTTTCATCTGAAGTGTGTCTCTTGCTTACTACCTATAGAGTATATGATGTTGTGGACGGAAAAGATGCTGCGACCGACTCCGAGCAATAAAAACATTCTGTTTATTCTCATGTCGTTGAGCTCGTGGTGACGAGTATGAGTAGCACTGTCATCTTTGGCGATGCCAAGGCTGAACCGATTGACTGCCGCAGAGCTATCGCCCTCAGCTCTGCACTGTGAGGAATGGCACGATTTTGTTGAAGTGATTGCGGCTCCAGAGAGGTGTCGTTGCTGTTGACATGTACCGCAAGCAGGATGACATACTAGAGAGCAGGAAAGAGAGCGTTTGGAAGCCGTGCATGGTAGTTGACGCCGAGGTCAGGAAATGAGGCAGCAGACGGGGGAAATCGACCCTGTCATGCTTTCAGTCCGGCTCGATCAGTTTGGAGTGTACAGCCTCGGACTGAAAGGGGGATGCCGGCCGACTGCGGGGCCGATGCAACATCCCCTAAGATGAGGAACCGAACTGAGAGCGAATGCCTGACATGGCAACGATGAGGAGACCCTGGTCGGCTAGCAACATGCCTTGTGAACAGTGTGAAGATGTCGATGAATATTCACTAGCCAAGCCGGTGGGGCAAGCAAGGTGGTCGCAGCCCATTGCTGGGAGATGCCAGTGCTAGATGCGACAGAGCAGAGGTGGTTGCGGAGGCGCTGCAGATGTGGAGGCTGAGAAAGTTGAATATGTGCCTACTGCATTTTCGTCCGAAAAGGCAGAGCCATTGCCGTGCCCTTGGCCACGAAGAACATTCCCCTGGATAGCAGGTGCTCGGAGTCAATCATCATGTCCAGGTCACCAATCTGTAGCACTTTCGATCTTGAGGACGGAAGAGACGGTGCAACAGACTCTGAGTTTAACTGTGAAAACATTCTCTTTATTCTCATACCGTCAAGCTCGTTCCGACGAGTAGCTTGCTTTTATTCACTGCAGTCATTAGCATTATAGTTGATCTAAGTATTTTGCAACACTCTTAATACGGCAGATTGGGCGAGTTGGTACGGCATAATTACGAACCAGCGCACAGATAGACCAGTTACTCAAGATACAAATACACAAAAATATACACTCGCACAGCGCTGATGTAAGTTTTTTGTGTTTGGATTTTTGGTAACTGTCTACCTGTGCCCTGGTTCGTAATATTGCAACACTGCCGTCTTTAGGCGGTGTGGAGGCTGAACCGATGGACCGCCAGAGGCCCATATCTGTATCTGTTTCATATACTGAATGCCTTTTTGCACGGCTCTGTGTTTACTTTTGTCTTCCAGATTTTTACTGCTCACTTGTTTTTTTAATTTTATTTAGAGGATACTACTGGCCATTGAAGGCCCAAGTAGGAGTGGGGTACAACATATGCATTCACACACCTACAACAACAAACAAATAACACGACATTAAGAGGTTTACAACAACTAACCAGCAAATATACAGGATATATATATTTAAAAGGGGGGGGGGGGGGGCGGCACAGCATGCATCAAGCAGCATGTAATTCAATCATTTGTAATAATAGATGTGAAATTTAAAACTCATATTTAAGATTGAACATTATCAAACAAATGTGAATTTAATTAAGCTATAAATTTTATATAGACTGTTACTTTTTATACAATTTTGTCTAGATTTGTCAGGATACAATCTGCAAGTACGCATAAAGTAACTGGAAAGTTGAAAGAAGCAAATTAGAGATTGCAAAACCTACTTCTCAATAGATATTTTTTTCCCAAAGTATTTACGTGATAGTGCAGCTGAAATAAGGCTCCTTTTTCAGTTTTTTTTTATTTGAAACACCTTAAAAATACATTGTTTTCTAAGATTTTTTTTTTATTATTATGCTTGGAAAATTAAGTTACCGATTGTGTTCAGTTTATTCTAAACTATTTATATGAAATTCCAGAGTGCTTTTGTGCATAACAGTGGCTAGATAAGGTTTTTATAATTTCTGATAAAACAAACTGACTAGTTTCTCTTTAGTGACCGTTTCGCCAAGGTGACAGCAGAACAAGTAACGGATCCCGACGTCAAACTGCAGGAATTTGAGATATATGTTTTCTTAGCGAATGCACGCCACTGTTGTGACATATTTGAATATCCTTATCGCTTGCTTGGGCTCAGCGGGTAATGCAGGTCGGCACTAGCGTGAGTATAAAGGCTGAACTGCATAAAGCGATTTAGCGAGCGACGGCGACAGCGACGAGTCAGCGACGTATTACGAAGATTTCTTACTATCGCTCGTCGCGTCACTCGGTTTTTGGACTTCTAGAAAACACCGTTCCGCTTTCATGCGGCTTGCGTCGTCGCGCGAGTGACCGAGCGTCAGCGAAGCGGGTCGCCGTCGCTGTTCTCGTCGCTCGCAAAATCGTTTACATTCGGTTTATACTTCACGCTGTCAATAATATCGACTCGAGCGTGCATAATTTCATTTCCACGGGAGCGCGTGTAAATCAAACCCATTCCAGCCTTGAGCGCTCGAACTTCCGAAAACGAAACCAGATTTTGCTACATTTTGGCTAGCTCGAAACTTTTTTTTTTTAAATACAGGGTGTCTTTTAGCTATAATCTAGACTAAGAGAAATGTGTTACTTCCCAAATTATATTTATGTCGCCGTACAATATAAGTAATAATTGTGTAATATCGTTACGTTCATATAAAATACGGGGGGTGTCACCGGACCTTCGGCTGAAACAAAAAGTCTGCTATATATACCGAGCGGGTTTCTATTGCAATTGAGTAGGAGTGTCGGGTGGTTAGTGCCTCTGTTCGTTGTTTGTGTATGTAGATGCTTGTATGTTGATCTTGTGGTATGTGCTGTGATGTATGTGTTGGTATGCTGCCGTCCGTGTTCGAGCGTGTCACTCCCTCAAATGCCGAAATGTCCTTCATTTTTTGTAGTTTTCCGCATACTCACTAGGTGGCGCAAGCAGCCGCCCAATTTTATTTTAGCTTTGTTTGTACGTAGTCCATTTATGTGTAAGGAACCACACCACATAGCTACAGTCTAGTAGAAAAGTAACCGCGTGTTTAAATGGCGCAAAGCGCCGGCGTTCAGTTCGTCTTCGTTCGCTGGCCGTTTCGGTAGCCGATTCGTACCCGGAAAGCCGCAAAATTTGCGTACACACGAGATATGAGTGGATACGTCGAAACGTCGCGTACAACTTTGCTCGCGGTAAAGAGGTGAGCGGGACGTCGGTAACGCCGGTCGGGTAGGGTCGGTGTCGGAGCTATTCGTCGTCGCTCGCGGCAAACGGGCTTTTTCAATAAAGTTCATGTCTGTGGTCGCGAAAAGATAACTGCTGTGGAAACTACCCGGCGTCGGTGACAATGCAACCGGCTTGAGGCCTCGGCGATCGGCTGAACCGCCACGCGAACGAGACCTGCTCGATGGGGAAGCACGCTGCTGGATGCAGTCGATGGTCGCTCCCACTGTCGCGTAATCGCCGTAATGGATACGGCGTCGGCGCTTGGGGGTGAATGCTTGCGGTAGTTCAGCACGTATGGACGATTACGAACGAACACGTGCAAACTACGCTTTCGCTGCGGCGAAAAGCCGTGTAAAGCGCTGGGCCTCGCTCGTCGAACCCGTCTTGCGTCAAACGGCCGCCATTGTAAAAAAACACCCCTAGACGTGTGATCGCAGAACGAAGTACACGTTCAAAGATGTTCATTTTACACGAGACCTTGGGTGCAAACGAAATACACCGAGCCTCGCGTGTAAAACGAACACCATTTGGGGAGTCCGCCCTGGGACAACGGTTTACACGTCCAGGGGTGTACTTTTTCGCTGTGTGTGTAGGATTTCGTCGTAACCTGCGCAAAACTTACAAAAATTTGTTTCGTGAATACGAATTTGTTCTTAAGTTTTGTCTTACGGACATTTTTGGCGTAAGATCGTTTCGTGAATCTGGCCTCTGCACTTCCGAAAGTCGCAGGAAAGTTAAGACAGACGCAGACGACGTTGCGAGCAGACGACGTTGCAAAGGAGGAGACGACGCTCAGATAGGGGTCGCGATCAGCCAATCGGGGCTCGGCGTTCTGACGTCGCCGCTACCCCCTGCGCAAGAGGCAGACGAACTTGCCCTCCGCATATCGTTCCGTCTGGACGGCCAGCCTAATGAGGTAAGAAAAAGAAAAAAAGACTATATTACACTAGGAATTTGTGGGCGGGCTTAATTATCTCGAATTATTGCACAGCACTGTAACACCGAAACTGGCGCAAAAGACCGAGATACGTCGGACTAGAGTTTGTGACCGTTTCAAGTAGTGAAGAGGGTGCTCCGGTCAGACGAGTGTGGCGAGTGCACCTTTGAAGAACCGGCAGTCCAAAAATGGATCCACGAAGCCAAGCTCACGGTTACCGCGATTAGTTCACAGCCAATTTCACGCAATCAAACTATCACAAGCACACAGCGAAAACGCATATTCATAACACAAAGCCACACGACCCGTCAGCTGCCCCAACAAACCCCAACGCCTTGAACAATACCTCCACTGGATTGAATTGGCTTCATTCTCTAAGCCGATCTGCGGTCAAACTTGTTTTTCTCGGAGCAAGCTACAGTTTTTGTTTCGGTCATCGCTATTAAACAAAATCCATTTCTCAGGAACAGCTTATGCCCTTGTATAGTTCTTTTATTTCATCAGTCAAACTCGTTTCGGATGACACATTATTAGGACATGAAAGTTAGCGGTGCGCCTAAAAACCCTGCAGTACAGGGTGACAAAAAAAGAACAAGGCCATTTTGAGCTGTTTTGCGGTGATTTGTTACGTAGAAATTGCACCTCTTGCTCGTGGAGGGAGTGATAATCCTGATGGGGCTTTTTCTCCTGTTCCGCGGGTACTTAGCTCTCATTTTGTTTTTCTGTATTGCATATTTTTATTTCCAGTTTTATTTGTATCTACGCGTGCTGGGAGCTGAAATTAACGCCCTGCAAACGTCCCGTGATTTAATTACATGTTTATCGGGCGCCTGCAAAAAGTCTGAAACTGAAATCTTTTTATTACTTGATTAAATCATATCCCATTATGTTATTTGAACTGGTTGTATAGTGGGGAACATGTTAAAAAATTCAGTAGATGCTCCGCCCCAGCGCGAGTTTTTGCCAAAACACGGCTGAAGGCAGAACTTAGTTTCCGTTTCAGTTTCAATCGTGAAATCGTCGAATACTTTCGGTCTTCAGCCGATACGTATAATTATTACATTTCTAAAACTTTTTTTTTTTGTCCTGCAAGTTTTTTTTTTTTTAATCTGTCGCGACTCGCTAGCAGTCGCGGGCGGCCGAATTCAAAGCCAAATTTAATCCAGGATTGTTCCAGCGATGACGGTCAAAATGGCGTTGGTGGCAGGGTGGGCAGGGCAGGAGCGAGGGAGCGGAGAGATCACACGTATCACTGGCCAGCCTATCGCAAAACAAAATTCCCAGCTGGTGTATACCGCGTGCCGTTGCGAGTGAAGGTCCGGGCTGTCCGCCCTCCACCCAGCGCTACCAGTGATACCAGCACACCGCCAACCTGGAATTCAGCAGGCAAGCTACTCAGCGGCACGCGGCTCGTCTGCAAGTTTTTTTGTTCTGCGTGCGTTTTGCCATTTAATTTCAGCCCTCAGTGACGCTTCGCACAGCCTAATCGTGGACAACTGACCCGGCCTGCGGTTGCCGTCACTACGAGCTGTTTTGAAGTCGAAGTCATTGGCTACCGCGAAAGTGTTTTGCGGTGACGTGCAACTACACTCTGCCGAGAGCGACAGGTTTGATGCTGTGTAATGAATACTCTGGCATGTGCGCACGTTCCGTCGGCTTGCACGAGGTAGTCGTAATGCCTGCCTCATTATTTTTTTTTATTTTTTTTTTCTTCAGTTTATTAGTTTTGCAAGTTGGAGTACGTAGGCAAGTAAGGATACCTCTCGCTTGAGTGATCGGTTAGTCCATAGCGCTGTAATAAACGACTAAACGCCGTTAAAGAAAAAAGAAAATTGTAGTTGCTAGGTTTATTTGACGCTGCGAGAGTACTGCGTCTCGTAGCGCACGTTGACGTAGAAAATGGAGCTCTCTGATTTGTTACTGGTGGCTGAATTCACGCCAGTTCAGATAATTGTGCTGTGTGTACGTTTATACAGCAGGAAGTCGGCCCCAGTGGTTGTCTAGTGTCTCCTCTGTAGATGATAGTTGAGCCAGTGCAGTATGATGGCTACCCTGAAGCATTCCACGGGCAGTAGTGATACACAACCGCACAGCGGTACGGTGCTCGTCCTGAAACGGACAGGTGTGGCAGTTGAACCCAGGGTCACCAGCTTCTCCAACACAAGCTTTTGTTTGACATCCTCTGAGCGGCGGTGCACTAACACGCTTGACCGCAGGTTGAGCGCAGATGATCGGAGCAGAAGCGACTCGCACCATACTGCGTTTCGAATAGACATTCATGTGCATCTGCCATACTCCGAGCATTATCGCTTTTCGTTTGAAAACAACGAGCTTCCGATCTCAGCTCTGTTTCATTTGTTGGCAGTTCTTGGCGTTTGGTGTGGATGCAAGCTGTTTTGATGCACTGAAAGAGTCGCGCGAGAGACTTGTTTTGACACCAGTTCAACGCTTGGTTTGTTGGGTGACAGTTAACCTTTTTGATTTAATTGCCTTGTCCCGTATGTAGAGCCACTGAATGCTTTCCGACTGCCGAAACTCTCAAGTTTTATTCTAGAGGCACTCCACCGCGTCGCATTTGAAAACTTCAACATGATGGCCTTCTGCGTTTGAGGCAGGCAGACCTGGAAATTTCTGCTTGCAAGCAGGCTAACGGTGCAGCATGCTTCCAAGGACTATAGGGTGGATTCTGTGAATCTCGTGCTGTGAAACGAGCCTTAGAAATCAGCGCGTGCATGGGGAAAGTTCAAATTTTCACCGACTGCGTCTTCTGCTTGCCCTGCCTGTCGGAAGATGGCGCCACGTGTTGGCATTTATCATCAACTGGAGCATCTGCGAACCCTCTCTTTGTTGACCCAGGCAAGTTTGTTGGTCTTATTTTTCTGCAGAAAGGGAGCTGTGCCTTAAAATTATGCAAGCTAAATTGCACCACTTCAGTACTCACCTTGGTGGGAGTTTAAGCCTTTTAGGCGCAGGCATCGACTTTTCCCGCTCGTTTTATATAATCAGGTCCACTGTAGCCATTTTACAAATTGAGGGCTACTTGATACACGAAGCCCTCAAATAAACCGATATGTTACCACAGCTCGGAGCACCCATCCACTTACGTTGCACATACATTTTTTTACGGCACTAGCTGTTATGAGCTCTTTTCATCACTAAAGATTATGTCCGTTGTTGACGTTGTAGTTGTTGGCGGTGTAGGACGTTCGTCGTCGATGTTGCCCAATCCTCGAAAAAGATTTCCCGCCGCCCGTGGGTATCGAACCCGGGGCTGCTGTGTGCTAAGCGGAGGCTTTGCCACTGAGCTACGCCACAGCGTTAATAACCCGCCCTATACTTAGCGATTTTCATAGTACCCAATGCCCACTGCCTGCGTTCTCTGGAGAGGAAAAAAAAATAGCCGATAATAAAATGCCGTCATAGCACTGTCAATGCCAAGAGCTTGTGCCGGGAGACGCGACGCGCTCTGGAACAAAATAGAAACAAAAGCGTTGGAAACAAAACGGTCAGATGTCTATTTAGTTCCGAACGTTTTTGTTCACGTACCCCACGGTGCGTCAGACCGAGCCGAGGGCCAGCGACTTTGCCGTGACGTGTCGCAGCTGTCGCTGTGACCGTATCGCTAATTAACGCTGGACTGCCCAATTTTTACTCCCGCCATTCACATAGCTATTGTATCATCGGCCAATCAAAAGGGTCGGTTGACTCGGATTTTTTTTTCGGTCAAGCAGACGTCGCGGAACGCGGTACTCTGAAAGCATCCAGTGGCTCTACGCTCTCTTTCACCGTACGGTGAACTGCATCGGGTGCTATGAGACAGCTTAGCCAGCCCAATGCAGAGTCCGTATCGCGTGACATCCCCGGCCCACGTGCCGTGGGTGCATGGTAGCCTTACCCGACAGGGGAGAACCCTGGAGATTCGGTACCCTGTGAGTATCCGGTGAGCCTGCGGTTTTCCCTCTCTTTCTTTGGCTAGGTTTTCCCGGCATGATTCTTGCGTGCCCGTTTGCCACGTGTGTCGTTTGTTCTGCCCTGCTCTAGCTCCCTGCGCCTCGTTTATACCTAAACAAAACTGCCTCTGCAACTGCGGACACTCAAGGATATTATTTCGGCGCTCGTTTCGCCGTTGTATTTCTGGAAAATTTCTTATGGTACAAAGTGATTGCAGTGGCCGCTGGCAGCCATGTCGACGCGGTGTGTGAGCGGAAGTGGTTTGTCTTTTGCTTTTTTGAGTTGTGTCTTACATGAAGCAGTGCGTATATCTTGTTGTTGCAGCGAATGAAAGAAGTTGCTAATTACGAATGACTTCATACCTCCCCAGAATGTCCACCTAATTTTCATCTGATGGAACAAATTCGGATGCCAAGCATTTAAGACCGTCTTTGCTTTTAAGTCGAGTTGACGACATCTCGTATGTCAGGAAGGCCACCCATTTTTCGGAAGTGGTTCTGGCTTGCCCCAAAAAGTGAGCAAATTAAGAGGAAGTTTGCCGACATTATGAGTGCAAGCAAGGTAGAGAAGTCTTCGTCCTTCCCTGACTTTCTCTGGTGGAATCAGACGTGTCAGTCAGTGCTTTCATTAATACCTTAGCCAAACATTCACGTCGGATATTTCAGTCCTACTATGCCACTAGATGTAGGCACTTTGTTTTAATATTGCTCTTGCTCGGCACACTGTATCCAGTTTTCTACTGTGTGAACGGTCGTGCAACAAGAGTGCCTGTTTCCAGGAACTTTGTGAGTTGCCTTTCTAGGATCACTACAAGGCAGGACAACTTATCAAATGACTCTTTTTATCTAATTTATCTTGTAGATGACACCAGTCCAGTTTTTGAGATTGCAAAATTTCTGCTAATGTTTTTTTTTTTTTTTTTAGATTTTGTTTAAGGTTGAAATAGTTTACTGCTGTGTTGGTGCGTTTTCAGTTTAGTTGCCTTGTATGATTTTATAGTTATGAATGCTTCGCAGTTTCTCTGTGTAAGCTGTAATGGATTCTTGCTCAGTCTACATTTCACCCTGCACCATGAATGAACCAATACTGAGTTAAAGTGTTATTGAGCAAGGTCATTCTAAAATCATGGTGTGCCTTTTTTCTCATCTGCTTTGTTAGCATTAACCTGTATCTTGTTGGAAACTAAAAATATTGATTAAATCTCTTTGTTTTGAATTTTGCTAGTCATGTGCAAATAGTGGATTTTGAGTTTGATGCAAATTGAAAGCAAATAGTGGCTTTTGCCTAATATTTATTGAATATTTCCTCCAAGCCTTTCACTACTGTTGCACCATGCTTAAACAAAAACCTAGCTGAAGTCATGAAGCTTGTTCTCAACCTTCGACTTGTCCATTTATAAGCTAATATTTATCTCTCAATATTTATGGGCTGTAACCTCAGAAAGTCAGATGCCTTGGGATGGCAAGTAAGCAACATATTTGGCATAAAATTAAACCTGTAGAGGTGCCCAGCAATACCTAAATGAGTGGATTTACACAACTTGCTATGTGCAAATATCCTTTCTTCAATCTCAAATTTGAAAAAAAAAAAAAAGGTGAATGATGAACACAGGTTGTCAGTCCTAACATATACCCTTGCATAACAGCCACAGTTTAATTTTGAAAATTTTACTGCAATGTAGATTTCAATATTCACAAAGTTTCCGTTTCTTTTTTAAATACACCAGGTACGCACGGGCACCATCCCGTTTTGCAAGTGTGCTTTTCTTCCAAGCGCGCAGTTGCGATATTCATACTTTTCCAAGTGTTGATCTTGAAGGGTTATTCCGTTAAGTGTGCTTCTTAACAAGCACCGGTGCACTGCGGAGAAGCAACACTCGCTGAGCTCTCTTTTGTGGGTGTTGTTTCTCTGCAGTGCACCGATGCTCAGTAGGAAATGCACTCAACGGGGCTAGCCCGCCACAATCAAAACTTAAAAATATGAACATTACAGTTCATCTCGAAGCGAATATTGAATAGTGTATTGTTCGAAATTTTGAATATTTGCACAGCACAGTTTGCTGTCCCAGTGTGCTCAATATGGATAGTACTCTGAAATGATGCATATTTAAGATATTTAGCTTCGCTGCTTCCTCTATATCTCATACTTGTTTTTTTGTTTTGTGTTTTAGTGGTATTTAGAATCCCTTAGTCCTTGTTACATTTTTCCAGAATTAGATGTGTGTATCGATAGCACATTCTTTATTTAAAACGGGAGCAGGCAGCACAACTGAATACACGGTGCAGCAGTTAAGAGAAGGACATACTGTAAACAACTTTGTTTTTGTGGTCTCAATACTTCGTTACTTGTTTACCTTACTGGGGGCTTGCCTTACATGCTGATAAACTATATTTTTTTTAGCAAGTAAGGCAAAAACACCGGCACAGTCTGCCAAATGCCAAAGAGGAGCTTTGCTTTGGCTCCCCCATCGACATATACTTCCCGCATCATTGATCCTATTTGATTTTGTGCATGAATGAACATTGCCTACTTTCATTGTTTTTCTGGTTGCGATGGGTGTTGGCTTGACCAGAAATGCACACTTGTTTCTGTTTCTTTCTTTACCTGTACCATCGGTCTCTCTTGAGACCATAGCAGGAGTGGAAAACATGCCGAAAGACACACGGTACATTCATTCGCACCGAGGCACTACAAAAGTCATAAAAAGAGGCTTCATTTGTGGCACTGGGTGGCAGGTTATTCCAATCAATTACTTTCCTTGAAAAGAAGGAAAACTTAAATGTGTCATTTTTGTAGGTGTATTGTTTGAGTCTTTTATTATGATGGTGTCTGGTTGTTCTGGCTCAAAAGGAATATGATGTATTCATTTTCATCTCTTCCCAAATGATCATTAGCAATTAAAATTAAAAAAAGAGTGATTTTATCTTTTTTTTTTCTTGCAACGTTTTAAGGCCTGCCCTGATACACAAATGTGTTTAGGATACGTAGGATAATTACTCGTTATAAATAGGGTAGAGGTGGAGGCAGGATAGATGACACTGAAGTCAGCTAAGCATACAGCCGTCGGTCTGAAAAGACTGAATGAAGATGTGTGTAAGTTGACTTATTGCAGTTTAAGATTTTGCCTATATGATGATTGCAAGGGCCTCTGACGAACAAACACACTCTCATCCGAACCACATCAAATTTGACTTTCATGTTCAGACAGCGTAAGGTCGGTTGCCTTTGAGGAATGGCAACACTGGTTTAATTAGCCAGTGCAGTACCACCGCTGGCCTAGGGCCTTTAACGTGCCTTATGCACTAGTAACGCGGTTAGGGTTGGGGATCATACCCAGGATCGCCGGGGTTCTGCAGTGCAGGCTTTCACTGCAAGTGCTTTTGGCTGAGATGTGTTAACACATTCAGCCATAGGTTACATTCTTTGTGCAGCTATGCACTTTTGCTTGTGGCATATAAGTATTTATTATTATTTTTTTTTACTGGTTTTCTTTGTCTGTGTGAAGGAATGACTCTGGTTGACCTAAGGGATTCGAGTAACCTTTGTGAATTTATTCCAACAGAGATTGGAGGAGCGGCGTCTGCTGAGACAAGTGCAGCACCGTGATTGAGGGTCTTCAAAAGCTGACGCTCTGGTCGGAGGACAAATACAACTTCTGCTGTTTCTTTTTTTTTTTTTTTTTTTTTACTATTCCAGCGAGAAAAGGCTTTGCCACTAGCAAACTAGAATTAAAGAGGGCTTTACTCAAATGCGAAGAGGACTTTCTCAGGCACTGAACTCCCCAAAACTTAATTTTTTAACGCTTGGTAAGGACAAACGCATTGCAACATAAATGTTCCACAAAAAAAAAAAAATAATAATAATAGGTATTTTGCGAAACTTGTTTCTGAATAAAAAGCAATTTTTTGACTCGTTTCTTTTTTCGGCACATTGACCCGAAAAAAAAAAAGCATCTTTTGCAACCGCTCATATCAGTTTCGCGATGTAAATATTGCACTATAAATTTCTTTCTTTCTCTTTCGGGAAAAGTTTAATCTGCGACATGCATTCTACCCAGGCACTTAAAAAAATAAGCTTTCTTGGAGTTCTTAGTGAAGCTTTCTCCAGAACCCCTAACCCATAAGAGGGTTAAGGGTTCTGGCATACGACACACACTTTACTACCTAATGAGGTCTGACCTAGGGACACGTGAATCTGTTCATACAGCTTCCAGGAGTGCAGATAAGCTCTCGAGGATATTCCCGGTCTGCAGGCTTTCATACTCTCGTGGCTCATCGAAACAATCGTGTTGTTGACTGCGTGGGTATGCGACCATTGGCAGAGACCGTTATGTGTAACGGAGTTGCATTGTAGCTATTGGTGGGCAAACGAGTTAATACACTCATTGGAACTGTGGCACTTTGCTGCATGTTGTTTGTATCAAACTTAAATGTCAAATTTACGTTTTTGTGACAGACCTTCCTCCACAGTATCACAGAATTGGGAAGTGCGCATTGCCAGTTTATCAGAAAATGCGCAGGTGTATTATTTTGGTAATTACTTTAGTTAAGGCAGATTTTTAAATGTCCTCTTTGTTTTGATTGGAGTTGACTTCATACTGTTTTGGCAGTCTTTGCATTATATTGAATTTACAATTTTGTCATGTTATCTGTGGGATATTGTCATGCGTTGGATGTTTGTACTTCAAATTATATTTTTCATTTACCTTGATAATTTTTGTTTGTGTGTCATCTAAGCTGAAGAGCTACAGCTGCTGGTTTGTGTTTTGCATCAGTTTGAACTTGCAGTATAGCTTCAAACATGTGGATAAAAGCAGTCCATGGGAACAGAGTGTGCTTTTTATTGTTTAGTGTGGGCACTTTGTGACATTCATTGCATGTTTACCTTTGTATGTGTTTTGTTTTTTACGTGGGCCTTGACTATTTGTTTACTCAATTTCGTGATTGTTTCACTAGCCTTTTTAAGCAGTTTACCAATGTTTTTTTGGAACAAGTTACAAACCCTGCAGTATGTGAATAGTTCACTCTCATAGTTTTCTAAACTTTGACCTAGTTACAAACTAAGGGTTTATAAATAAATTGTATCTATTTTGTGTGAAGGTTTTGGGTTGGCCAGCTAGTGCCATCATGGTATGAGAGTGCACCTTCACAAGCAGTGCATGACGGCTCACAATCTTGTGCACATTGAAAACTTTGTTGTAGGTAGCTTTAAAGCCACTTTTGCCAAGTTAAACAAAAAGAAAAATATTGTTGCTCTTGTTTAAAAGAAAACTAAAAGGGGTCAGAGAGCACGTTAGACTAAATTACTTTATTATCAATGTATTTGTGATTTGTGACAGCAGTTTTGTTCAACTTGGTCATGGACTGCTATAGAAAGTGTGTTAGAGTTTGATTATTTTAAGGGAAAAGCTGTCATAGACAAGGAAATCAAAGGACAACACAACAGCACAAAGTCTCAAAAGTATTTGAGGCTTTGCGTTGTTCTTCGTTTATCCCCAGTCTCGGAGTTTTGTCATAAAATATGTTTGACCATCACCAGCTGGTTTGCGCCAAAACTTTTTGTTCGCAAATTGTACAGTTTTTCTATTCTCTCTGCCTGTGTGCCTAAAACACACTAGAATTTTCTTCAAATTTCTAGATGTGTTTTGTTAAAAGATTGAGCGTGATTTCTATTCTTTGGGTTGCTGCTGAGAAAAAAAGGGCACAAGCTCATGAGGGTGTGTTTTGACAAGTAAAGCAGCTAAACCTAGGAAACCTGTCTTTTGCAGCCCTTAGGTGTACCATATACAGATATTGATCGCCTTAGTTTCACTCTCCCCCCTCCCATTTTCTTCTTGGATGCGAAATTGAAAGCGTTGTCCGGTAGCTGGCAACACATATGCAGCTTCTTTATAGCCGTAATAAATGGGTTTCATATTTGCTCGCTACCCCTCTAAGCATTGAAATGAGGCTTGCTCGTATTCTGATACGTTTATACTTTAGTCTTGATTTATTTTCGACCTATGTCTGTTTTCTGCTTGGCTTTGTGCAAAACACACTTTGTTTCAACTTAACGTGGACTAGGCGCTAAGGCTGCAAGCACGAGCGAATAGCCTCGGCCGATGCTCCTGCCACATGAGCTCTCATGCAGCTGAGGCACCGTCAAATGCAGGGAGCTTGGACTCGTAGCCTTCACAGTTAGTCCACGTCAAAGTGAGACTAGAACCACTAAACAAGCTATACCTAGAGTACCGACACTCCATCCTCCGATTCCTTTGGGGGCGCTGCCGTTTTGTAGCCTGTACAGAGCGAGCACGAATGGCTGGGCTGTACGATCTGAAAATGCGACTTTGTGAGCTTCAGGTATGGCGGCGGGAAGCACAAGCCGCCATACCTGAAGCTCTTTTGCTATGTCGAGGACTGTTGCATTATTTCCGGAGGGCAAAAATGCATTTCCTACGATCTCAGAACTTTGGATAACTGGCAACCACGATTTTCATGCACTAAGATTGCCGGACTGTTGACGCTCTGAAGCGCAGCTTGTTTAGTGGCTCTAGATCTCTAAATGAAACAAACTGCCGGGCGTTAAAAAAAAAAAATGTATAGTATTGTTGAAACAAGAACAGACGTGGATCCACGTGGCATTTATATTGGCGAAAAATGCCGGGCAGCAAGAAAAAGAATTGTTCTCTTTCTCGCCTGCAAGTTTTTGTCACTAAAGTATATCCTAAAAGTGGCCACAATGTCATTTCTCGTCTTCACAACAATAAGCTAGGCTGGATATCAGCTCGTAGAGAAATTCAATCTTTCTCTTTTGTCTTCCAATCCAAGTTGGGAAACACTCTCAAACTTTTGCGTTCAGTGCCAACCACCACTGTTGCATTGTCATAAAGTTTCGGCTTCGTGCGACGCAGGCCTCGTCTTTCAGGCGGTTTTGGCCAGGGGGCGCAGTAGACGGATTGAGAGTACAACCGACTCTTTCTCTTGTCTTTCCTGGCAGAGGCAGATGGATCGCCTCGCACCGCCGAGTGTGACGGCCTCCGCTGTGAGGAGTGCAACGACCTCTTCTCCTCGCACGACTTCAACAGGCACTGGAAGACGCACGGGGCGCGTGAGCGCAAGTTCTTCTGCCGCTACTGCCCCTACTCGAGCGACTATGGGAGCACCATCACGCGCCACGAGATGACGCACACGGGCGAGAGGCCGTACGCGTGCAACGTCTGTGGCCGGGCTTTCGGCACCAAGCACCACCTGGTGACCCACCTGAGGAGCCACACCGGGGAGCGGCCGTACGACTGCGACATGTGTGACAAGGCTTTCATGACGTCCTCGGACCTGAGCCGCCACAAGAAGACGCACGCCAGCGACGCGCCTTTCGTGTGCCGGGAGTGCGGGAAAGGGTACGCGTGCAAGGAGAACCTCTTGGCGCACTGCATCTTGCACTACAAGAGTAAGTCGTGAGGCCGGTTCCCGTGTTTGCGTTTTAGCCTGACCGAGTCTGCTGCCCTCGCTTGTGACTGCTTACGTCGAGAGAACCCGCAAGGATGGATTTAAAGGGGGAGGAGGGGTACAATGGGGGGTGACCGCCCCCTCTTCAGTCCCAAAAGGCAATTTTTTTTTTTGTAAAAAAAGGAGCATACGCTATTCTATTTTTTTTTTTTTGTTGTTTCCTTAAAGTTGACCTACAGAATAATTTTCTGCCAGAAGAAAGCCAGTTCCCAGTTTCCTCCTCTCCATTCCCTCTCTCCTCTTCAGCCCTGCAGGAGTGGCTCTCTGTGCTACTCCCTACAGAAAGGAGGAGGGTGTCCTCTTTCTCAAATGGACATCAGGATTTGAGGGAGCATTTCATTCTTTTTGTTTGTTGGTCGGCCTTAGAGGGATTGTCCAGTCAAAACCGGAAGTACTTCAGTTTTTGCACTTATTATGTGGAGGGAGCCTTCATATAGACCAGGGGTGGCCAGGCTGACCCGGCCTAAGAGCCGCAAACAAAACTTCCAAGAGCCGCAAACAAAACTTCCAAGAGCCGCAGACAAAACTTCCAAGAGCCGCGGGGAAGGGGGGGGGGGGGGGGGGGGCAAACTTTTGTCTATAGTTATAAAAACTCGAGCTACTTTAAATCTATTCGAGTCAAAAGCAGTTCAGTTGTACAAGTAGTAGCACAAGACTACCAAACCGCAACCCGTCTTTCGATTTAAAACACATTCCATTTCTGTTTTTAGGGAAGTGTTCGTGTGACCGTTAGGGAGGGGGGAAGTGGAGGGAGGGGGCGGTGGGGGTAGGGGAGGGAGCCGCGAGCCGCACTTTAACACGCAAAGAGCCGCATGCGCGAGCCGCAGCTTGGCCACCCCTGATATAGACAAACATCATTTTTATTTTGATACATGATGTCCCAATATTAATTAAACCTTTCATGAGCGTGTGTACGAAACTGCACCCCGAATTTCGCCAGTGTCAATGGCCGACATCTATAGCTGCTGCGTGACGTCGCATAACACAGATGATCGTCGGATGGTCGGGATTACTAGCGTTGGTCGATGAATGTCGTGTATTTTGCTTCGAATTTTATAGTCTCCGAGGTTGCACTCTACTGAAAGGCATTTCTTGTAATGCAGTTCCCAAACTTGTGTGCAAAAGTCACACCTTTTAGCAGGATATTACTTGAAAGCAGCCATTAGCTTCGAGCAAACGTATGCCGTTTCGGGCATACACAACCGCGACGGCCGTTGATCAGACAAGGAGTGCTTGCAAAGAGACGGATGCAGATTTTGACCCTGAAGCAGCATTTGAGTCCACATGTCGGCAGATCCACTGGATCGGTGATGCGGCTGCAGGTCGTTCCCCCGTAGGCAATGCCCGCGGGTCGAAGGCAAATGGCGATCGTTCAAAGTGTATGTAACATTTCAAGATCGTCACTTGACTTGGATGAGCTTGGTGAATCGTAGCCACACTTCATTTTCACACGTAGGTAAAACATAATCGGGCTGCTTGCATGCTAAATATAACTTTTGTCATTATTTAAAGATGGCTTCCCTGTTGGTTTTCGTTTGGCTTCATAATCAAACCGATTGATCCGGTTTGGGCAAGGAAAGGGCAAATGTAGTTGAATAGCATTGGCGCAGCATCAGACCTCAGCCTACGAGCCTTCTGTTTGCTTAGAGCTCAGCTCATAGGTCTTCTTTGTGGAATGACTGCTGCATAAGTGGGATTTCAATCTTGATGGGAACCCAGTGCTTTCTATGCAAGGCGGCAATCCATTTTGCTCGCCACTGTCTAGCGGATCGCAGGTACTGCCCGGTGGTTGCGGCACCCAACCGCGCAAGAAAAATCTCACACATCCACGAAACAAGTCGAGCTCAACAACAAAAACGAAGCGCGCTACGGCATCCACTTGAGGCAAACAATGAGACGGAAATGCTCGCTTTGCGTTGTTCGACGTCTGAGCTTCAATGCTGCTAACGAAAGCACTGTTTATGCTAGAATGCGATTGGAGCAGTTCAAGATTCAATTACTCACGCAGAGGGAGATATAAAATTCAGATATTGCACGGACGATGCATTTTGAGGTAATAACAATTATATTCACTTGCTTTCTCGAGCACAAAATTTGGTGAAATGGTGATTGTCTTCGTCTGCGACGTCATGTCCATCCGTGACGTTGCTTCTCTTTGCAAAGCTCCCCCCAAGCTAAATTCCCACTCCCTCCCCTCCCCAGGCCTGACCCCTAGGTCCGCCCCTGAGGACCTGCTGGCATGGCGGTGCCATCTATGAGGTAGCTTATGGAACATTTATGATCTGCACATAAGTGAACTGAAGGTTTTGCAGTGTTTGCGAGATCAAATCTATGGGAAATGATTGGTTATAGCATTTTCAGAATTTTTCAAGCCCCCAGTGAATGAATGGGACATTAAAAAAATTGGGAAATGTGCGCAGGCTGGGAGGGTTCCAGGGGCCACCAAATAGTTTGTGCCATGTTCGTAAACAGTCGCAAGCTGTTCAAGCATATTTGGCCACAGTCAGACGCAAAACCGTGAACCAGCATTTAGCCGGCGTTGTTGGATCGCTCGGCTGTAAAGCTTCTTGTAAACATGCAACGGAAGGGACCCGATGTATGATAGTGGCTGTGCTGCCAGTGCAATGGACATTTTCGTCTGCTAACGGGTTTTCTTGACGAACACCAAAGGTTTGTCTCTGCATTTCAGAAGAAAAGGGAAGCTTGCAGAGATTTCTTTCTTTTTAAGTCTAGGGACGACCGACTGGATGAGTTTTAAATCCGTTGCTAGCGCAGAGACGCCTTTTTTGCTGCAAAAGCAGACGAGCTTGTGAAATGCGTTTCATGTTTACAACGCAGTGGAAACTTGTTAGGAGGAAGACAATTGAGGATCTAATATATATTGACGACCAACAATCTTAGGATATTTCTATAGCTGTTTGTTGCTTTCGAAAGTGCAACCGAGGGTAGTCTTTGACGACGATGATGGCAATGATTATCGCTCTTAGTATGAGGCGTGTGCAATGTCGCTGGGTACATGCAAGAGGACCCCTGTTTAGAGTGGATTTCCACAGCTGCGTTGGTCTAACAACATTGGTCTAACCGGTGAAAAAGTACAGCACATATGCAAGATTGTTCCCCACCCGAGGGTGACGACGTACCGCAAGACGCCGTGTGCAGAGCGGTATGCAGAAGGCGACTGTGTTATTTAGGGACGTTTTTTCAAAGCCCGGTGAATGGCCTTACGAAAGGCGCATTATTGTGGTGCTGCATTCAGACAAGGTTAAGAGAGTCATTTTAAGACATTTTTCGGTGTATCGCTTTATTGTGTTTTGGAATAAAATCCGGTTGTAGTTGCTGTTCGTTTTTCTCGTCTTTTTTGGACCAAACGTGGCTGGTCTTGGGGTCGGATACCGGCTGTATCTGTTTTGCTAGTATGGTCTTCCATTATTGGACTTTTTTGTGTGAAATCAAGTTGTCTGCAGGAAGTATTCCACAACATTCGCAGCGTTGTCCCTGTTTAAGTTACACTAACCGGAGATAGTAATAAAGCTAAGGGGAGGAAGGACCATGGAAGGCTGTCTTACTGTAGTGTAACTTGAGGATCTGGCAGAGTATAGTGTTAAGAAAAAGTTACAGCAAGCGCGGCATGCCGCACATCACAACAAGGGGAACTCAGCTTTTCTTTAGCATTTTTTTTTTTATTTTCAAGAAAAACTTCTGAATATTCCACTTGCCTGCTAACTTTTGCGTTTGACGAACCGTGAGAAGTTATAAGAGGGTACATATTGAAGTTAACCCTTCCGTAAACAAAACAGACTTGCCTGTATTACAGTACAAAATACAATATATGTTATGCTTTCATCATGATGTCGGCAGACGCGACGCGCGAAGCAGCTCTGCTGGAAACTACAGAAAATGCAGCACAGATGCAGATGTGATGCCCTTGTTGCCCTCCTTTGTGCTTTGGTTGCACAAGCGCTCGATCCTTGGGAAACGCCCAGGCGTCATCGAAGGTGGCGAGTTCATGCTGGAGTTGGGCCTACCAAGACCCCTCTCTGTCATTCTCATTCCGTCCGAGGCTATAGTATTGCAAATAAACTTGCGTCATCATCCCGAAAATATGAGCGAAATCGAGTGCCAAATGAATCCACAAATGCACTTTTTTTTTTTCAGAAGATATTTGGAAGTGGGCCATTTATCGGGGTTTGTTTTTGCTTTTTGGTGGTGAAAGAACCTCGGTATCATTTTCAGTGTTGTGACTGCTGTGCCAAGGTGCTTACCTTGCTGTTGCCACATTTTGCCAAAAATTTAGGAATTTGCATCAACATTGTGCAAAAACACAACTTCTCTTTATGTGTACTGAAAATATAATTACTCGAACATTGCCATACGGTCAGATGTTTACGGTGGGCTTGCATGAATTTTCAAAGCTTTTATTTGATTTCACCGTCAAACATTGGCAGTACCCGAGAGTCTCACAATATTCCTAACATTTGCTGTCTGTCTTGGGGGGGGGGGGGAGGGGGGGGAGGTTAGCGTCATTGGGTGCACTTCTCGCCCCCCACTGGTGCAGTGCAGTCAAGGTGGAGAATAGAAATCAGGATGATTTAGATCGTGATTTATATCAGACCGGCTTTACCATAATGATTTAAATCATATTTTCTCCAAAATAGTCGAAAAACTATTTTTTTTAAATTTACTGTTGGTCTATCATATGATTCTTTCTGTGGGAATTTGTTTATTTAAAGGAACAAATCATCGAGCAAGAAAGGTTTATATTAAGCTGAACAGAAGCAAAGAGCAGTGGTCTTATGAGCGAATCGGAATGTTCAGCTTCCTTTTTACCATCCACTTGGTTTGTCAGTTACGCATAGGATTCAGTGTTTTCGGAATTTATTTTTCGTGAAATTCGGGGGGTGTTTTTCTGAGTCTCTTTTTTGCGTAAAATTTGAAGTTTATTTTTGTTAAATTCCCAATTCTCCGAAGTAGGGAGTTTATTTTTGCTATGTTTCCCAATTTTCAAGATTGAAAATAAAAATGCATATTAACCCGCAGGTATAACCCTGCCCTAGATCTATAAGAAAGCACATGTACCATATGACGGTGGCACCCTTGCAATCG